CTATCTTTATAAGAAAATTCTTACACAAATTCGTAACAATTCACCTATTATACGAGGCTATTAGTATAAAAACAAGTTATTCCGCTTGGCAGGATGTAGTAATTGAAAACGGGTCACGTGACCGAGCCTCGATACCATCATTATCATGCGAGTCGCTACTCGTCAAGACACCAATGGCATTTCAATATATAGAAAACAGTGTTTAATTGTCTTAGGAATTATTGCGTAGTGCCTACCTGCCTAGTGAATCTATCATTTGTTTCATATTATAGTTACGAATTAATAAAAGGAGAGTGATTTAAACAGCATATTTTCAATTTAAAAAAGTATTTTACACATCAATTAAGTATTATTTTTATTTAACGAATTATTGATTTTAACCTTTTATTAGAAAACAGAACGATTCGCGTCCTGAGACAGAAGAGAATAGGCAATAGAAAGTTAGCTAAATGAAAATTACTTATTGCTTTTCATTAATTTTTTGCCTATTTTGCCATAAAAATCTACATAACTTCAATGTCAAGCGTTGAATGCAATTCAAGACAATTTTATTTATTTATCATTCGTTATCGTAACATTATAGCAATAATTGATATTCATATTCTGGAGACTGGAGAGGGAAAACCGCAAAGCAGAATGGATAAACAACTCTTCATATGATACAGATAATTTATTATAAATGTGAAAGTTTAGAAGTTTGAATGTTTGTTATTCAATCACGCCATAACAGCTGAACGAATCTAGCTGAAATTTGGCAGAGATAGATTATGGTCTGGAATAGCACATAGGCATTTTAACCCGGAAAAATGTACGGTTCCCGTGGGATAATTTGTTTTTATTTTTCTGGAGTCGAACTCAAACGAAGCGAGTGTAAGCCACTAGTTATATATTATATGTAAATATAATAAGTAATGCATTTATGAAATATTTTAAACAGATTTAGACTTGAACACCAATTTTATTTGAAATTTATTCACATCTTTTTCAAGGTCACCAGGATTTATTTAATAATGGGGATTCGGTAAATTTAGGGTGAAGGCGCCATAGGGGCGACGCGACGCGGCCACACTGCCTTCATTCTTACTCTTGACATGAGATATTTTATAACTACCATAAATTTCCTATTACTTTAGCTCCAATTAATATTATGACACAAAAAACCAAAATAAAAAAAAACAAAAACCAAATCGATTAGATTTTATATAACTGAATAGTGAATACGCACTAATTTCTAATTGATACTCAAGAGAATCAGTACTAATAAATAAAGCTTAAGAGTTTGTTTGAATGCGCTAATCGCATATAAGGTTACAACCTTTACAAAAAAGTAGTATAAATTATAAAATATGCAGACAGAGCCGCAGGCAAACGCTAGTAATTAATAAAAACTTCAATATCCTAAACAAAACCAACGGTCTACAGTTATATTGAACAGTATTCTTATTAATATTCTCCAAAGTTAGAAACGCTACGACAAGGTTATATAGTTGTACGCAACATCCATACAGTTTATTACCAAATTGGCAATGCAATATATATTTGTAACAATTTGGTTAGAGAACAGGTCTACTAATGACTGCTTGTTTTGTTAGAATGAGAATGGCTTATGAAGCTAAACATTTAATATAATGTTGCATGTATAATTAAAGACTAGCATTGATGATACATAATGACGCCATACATGGTTTATGCAATTTGTTTGTTCTTTTAAAAATGAAAAATTTACTGTGTGACAGTAGTCCAAAGATTATTCACACACGGCAGAAGTGAAACTTCAGAAAAGTAACCTACGAGAGAATGAGATGAATATAGAATATCAGGAGTAGGATAATTATAAAGTTTTTTTTTATAATATTTATTTATCAAGTTTGAAAGTCATTTTATATTTTATTTATGTGTTTGTCTCTTTGTCGTGACTCGTGATGCATTTTCGTTTCATCGAGTTTCAAATCTCAACGATTCTAAAGAAATTTCTCCTCAATAAGAAATAAAATATATATTTTGTTTTCTAAAGTTATTTATCACAGAATTTAGTTTTATATTACTAAAATAAAAATTCGTATTTTTATAGTTTATATCTTATTTCACTACATATATACGGTATACCTACTACAATATATATACGGTATACATACTATCGACCACTTTAATTCTAGACTACGCTAAAAACTTTTTTTTAATTACCTACTTTTTTTTTAATTTCCTCGAACGTGGGCGAATGCCAACACTTAGCTCAGTGTATTATACCTATAACTCTGCCTAATAAAACCAATATATAATTTATATTAATTATAAAACTAGTTTATCCTACAACAGGTATAAAAAGAACATAAAATTATAGTTATATCACAAGACGCGTAAGATGACATCATCAAACGATCTCAGACGCCGAGATGGCGCCTGCATCTACTATTGCAAAACTATGTTATATCAAGGACTATCTTTAGAAGGACAAATGTTTGTTTAAATTTTTTATCTGTATAGAAGATAAAAATGAATGTATGGTTTGTGTCTGTTAAAGGTAAAATTCCTAAGCCATACTTCCTTCCGGTTTTGATGTGCGCATGTAACTTTATAGTTTACACACACGCACGCGTAAATTATACGCGCATCTTTTACAAAGATAATATTAAAAAAGTATGATTGGTAGGTACCCAGTACCCTTCAGTTTCAGTAGCAATCTACATTTTAACTACCTATTTATTGTTGGACACTGAACAAATAACCATATTTTCTTTGTATCTTCTATGATCCATAGGACGTAAAATCGAGTGTAAAAGTAGTTAGTAATAATATCAGTAAAATCCTATTAAACTTAATAAGGAAAAATATTCAAAAATCTGCGCAATCTGTATTACTCAATCTTTCGACCATAAGAGGGCACTCGATAACCTTCTGACGCCATTTTTGTTACGTGTACTTACGACGAGGATAAATACCCTATATCCTGTCACGTCCAACTGAGTCACGTCTCGGGATCCTCAAGTTTTCCTTCAACCTTAAGGACTTTTCCATGACCCACTTGCGTGTTGAACTATAACTTGCGTTTAAAGGTATCATAATATGCTAAATTCCCTAGAACATTTATTATTATTTTGAAAACAAGTGCTAAACATTTAAACCGCTTATTTGTCCATAGCTTTTGTGAAGTGGTAGGTATTCTAATAGGTATTGTCATGTGATCACGCAATACTTGTCACATTTTCATATCATGGGTTATGACAATTAATCTATATTTTCATATGAACATATATAAAATAAAAAAATATACGTGCCAAAAGGTTACAGTCTTATTTTTTGTTATTGAAAAATAAAGTTTTACTTACTATTAGGTAAGGCAATTTTTTTTTATTTATTAGCGTTACAATATGTATGTATGAAGTAATTAATGGTAATAATGAAATGAGCATAATATGCTTTATTATTCATTGTCTTGAAAACAAAAACAAAACAGAGCTCGTAATTTATGTTAAACAGAACGGAAAGATTACTTAATGAACACATGTCCACACTAAGCTTACGATTGTGCATGCAAATATGCATCTAACGTGAGGATCACTGCTTATGAGAGGCTGGCTACGTGGTTACGTACTGACATACCTACGTGATGTCATATTATAACAATTACATTTTTTTATTTAAATAGAAGGCAATATGTATCATTTATTTTTATTCGACCTTCAAAAAGGTGGAGGTACTCAATTCGAGTAGATCTTCGCAAATTGTGAACAGATTTTCAGAATTACTTATCGTTTGATAAATTAAAAAATCATCATGAAAATGAAAAAAATCCTCATAGCTCAATAGTCCCTTAATAAAATTTAACAAAAAATTAAGACCCAAACAGCTAAAACACTAATTGTTCCAGTAGACGACGACCTTAATTAATTTTGTAGACGAAGTACTTTCAGTACTTAATTATATAAAAAGTTAAGAATTTATTCATTTAGGTCTGTTGTATTATTTTTATTATAAATTATAGGGCGTTGCAAATTGCCTTCAAGTGGAGTACAGCTTATATACGAGTATAATAACAAATATGCGAAATATTTTTAATTACAGGATAACATGTTTACTTCTTCAAAAAAATAGAGATAACTTATTCAAGTTCAGATAATATCTAGAAAATCTATGAAAAATCTGCTACACACGGTAACGAGTAATGAGTATGATGTCATCTGGCTGTATAACATTGAGTCATTGCCTGTTGCTCGCTAATGTGGTATTTAAAATGAAGTAGGTAAATGATGGCATTTTGAATCATTGGTTATTAGAACAGTCTTTAAATCAATTAGAATCATTTCACGGAATATTGTTAGATTTTGTTACCACATGCGACATGGCGTACAATTGAAACATGTACGACTGAATTATTACAAGTCTTTTATAATAAGTTTATTATAGTTACCTATACTTATTTAGAATAAAAACAAATATATTTTGAATAATCATTCGGTAAGAATTAGTTTTCTATTAATTATCTCAACATTCCCACGCATTCTTGCCACAGAATACCTTTATCTGTGAGCAGTCTGTGAAGGACATCTTGAGCATAGCTATATAGATAAAGACGTGACCTTTCATCTTTTTCTCTCCAATTTCATTTCTTATGAGTAACAGAGAAAGTAAATAACTATTTTGATATTGGGGACCGGTTCCCCGCTTCGATCAGCAAAATTATATTTATTACAATTTTGTAATGTTTACATGTTTATCTTTTTTTAACTACGAGGTTTATAGAATATTGTTAACAGATGAAAAAAATCATGATACAATCCATAATCAGCGATTAAGTGAAAGTTACGGTATAATATGGTTATCGTGTAGGTAGCGTTTGTTTTATTTTTGTTTGTTACAATAAAGCAAACCTGAGCTTTATTTTCCAAAGGACTAAATATTTCCGTCACGAGTCACAACCGGGCATCGGGCCACGTCAAGCAGTGTTTCACTGTCCGTTGATCACCATAAAAAAGAAACCGGTTCTCCCGCCCTTTACTCACCGCAACAACGAGGTTGAAGAAAAACAGCACATATTTCACAAAACTCGTTCCACACCCCATTTTGAATATCTCGTCACACACAAATTCACAAGTTGATGTCACGCACGGATTTACTTATTTACGCGGTTGACGGAGCGACACAACCTTACGTTTTTAACGTTATAAGCGACTAAATGAAAATAAACGGGAGATCGCGATGGCGACGCGGCCCCTCCCCGACCCCCCTCGGTTACTCGTGAATCGTGACCCCTCATTCACCTATTAACTATCTCTTTCTTACGTTAAGGTTACCAATATGTTTTTTCCTTTTCTAAATCATCTCAAACTTGCCATGACTTCAAATGAAATATTTGAGAAGTTAATCTGGATACCTACAATATTATTATAAATATTCTTATCTTAGTTTTTATTCTATTATAACCTCAGACGAATATTATTCCTTAATTTGAAACTACGAATTTATCATAACAATTATCTTGTAGGTAAGCGTAAGACTAACATAAATCTTCTTTTCTGGAGAAGAAAAGTATTTAACTAAGGGCTTTTTATTTTGTCTTCATATTTTTTTTCTTAAAAATTCCTTAATTCCCTGAACAAACAAGCTCTATGACAGCATTGGGAATAGTACATAGCATAAAAAACAAAATCACATTACTATTTTCGACATTGACCATATTTTTGACCACCATACCTATTATTTAAAAGTCTAGATATAACATAAGAAAATTCAACAATTTGTAAGTATTATAGAGGTTATACAAAAAAAGATAAAAAGCTCTAAGCGCGAAGACAAAACGTTTGGTTGAAAGACCTTTATGAGTGTAGGCGTTACTTAACGTTTCATGCAAGGACGAACAATTAGATTTTAGTTTAATGCATAAAAATATAAATAGAAAATTTAAAATTTATAGTTAATGTAAGCATTATAAATATGGACCTAATTATTATATGTAATGTTATGTTTTGAAACTTCTTTATTTTCAAATTTCAACTCCCATAAGTAGCCTAAATTTTGCTGCAAGTGCTGTACAATCGATGTTCAGAATTCAGAGGTGAGATCTAAACGACTACCACGTTTCATAGCAAATCGATATAATAGGTAATATGACAAAATTTAAATTAAAGTAGACTTAAATACATACCTATAGATTATTAAATATTTTTTCGCAAAACTTTTATATCTGGTAAATAAAACGTTTGTGGCAAAAGTAAAAAAAAAAAACAAAAAAAATTATATCGAACAAGTTAAATAGGCTTAAATATCATGAAAAAGCAATACATAATATTAACTATTTATATTTTATTTAGTGTATTTAGAATTTCTATTTTTGAATATTTTTCAATCAAAAATCACCTTACAGAATGATGTTCAATTTACATTATATTTTTGCAATAGTAGTTAAGTTTGCCATCTTGAAAGATGCTTAGGTAGTTATTAAGAGTTCAGAGCTCTACAGCGCAATGCCCTTCTAGCTCCGCTAGGTACTCGTTGTACCATTCGATAAGTTTTTGTATGCAAGTCATTTCTTTTCATTAACCCTTTTAAGTGTTCATTAAACATGTTGTTTTATGAATATTTTGTAATATATGTACTACAATTATTGTATATAAAACATAGATGTGATGTGTGTATTTTTGTACATTTTACTTTTAAACATGTGAGGCTGAGAAGAAGTTCGGCTTGACTTGTGAAAGTTTGCAAGCATTTGGCAGTTGTCAGCTTTTGTGCAAAAATCAAAGGAAGTGTGCGACAATTTGATAAATTCCAAAAGAAACAAGCCTCGTGTGGTTTCTATAAATTTTGACACCATATCCTTTGTTGACTATTTCATTCCCTTTCGTTTCTTTGTATTTCTTTTTATAATAGAAATAAGATAAACCGAATGTAATAGCCGATACAAGCTCGACGTCCATTATGCTTGCTTTTCTCTAACACACAAGCGCAGTTGCAAGGATATCAATGTTCGTCTCTTCAAATTTAGCCAGGCGTTTGTAGAGGTTCAAAGTTTGTGGCAAATAGCAAGCCTCTGGATCCAACATTAGGATACCTAAACAATCATAATAATACCATACCATAATGGTCAACATACACAAAATAAAATATACTTATAGAATAGAGTTTGCCTTAGCAATTAAGTTTTAGCCGTCAACGAAAAAGAGGAGGTTCTCTATTCCACTCTATTTTTTTATTATGTATACATATATATTTGATTGTAAACCAATTTGATGATTCTTTTATTAATAGTAAAGGTTATATATCAAGTCTTCCATATCAATTAGAGGGAAATATTCCAGCCCTAAGACTGGCATCGACCCCAAAAATTAGTGATTACCCAGACAGTTGACTCACGTACATGACAGGTGCAGTCATATTTGGTAAGGTATCAAAGTGACCATTTGGCATAGTGGTCACATAACCGGCTTCTTTGCCAAGAGTTCAAATTAATAAATGAGGTGGTTCATTCGATAATATTACTGTCATGAAAATTACTTTTACAATTAAGCTAATAAGCTTTCTCTTTATATAACGCTTATCAGTGACTTAAATAGAGCAATTATTACACCGCGCAGTATTATGAATTTTTCCATTTTTTAAAGACGCTATAGAAACTTAAAAAAATATCTAAGAGATATCTAGGTATCTACGTAATAATTAATATGTACTTTTCTAAATTCTATATATTAAGCAATTAAAACCTAGCCAGTTGACTCCCATTCACATAATATACTTAAGCATTGATTTTTTCATCTAAAATATTCTTTCGGATATCCAACATTTTATGAAACCAAAAAAAACTATAATGCATAGTGTGTCTATACGACCTTATATAGAATAAATAAGTTGTTACTTTTTGGCAAAAGTTTGGGTGACATCTGTAAATTTTCAATGACAGTAGCGAAATGTTTGGGTCACAATTATTTAGCAGTTCACATACGATACCATATATTTACCATACAATTATCACTTCAAAGCATTCGCTTTCATCTATCTAAAAAACGTCATACCGTAAAGAAACTTTGTACTTAAGAGAAAGTCCACAAGAAGCGTAAAACACGTGTTGCCACTTTCCATTACGAGACCCTTTCGTACAAGTTGTAAAAACTTGGAATATGTATATCAGTTATCTAAAAGGAAATGATATCTTGGAAAAAAGTCTGGGAATTTCGTCTAGGTATATGTTGAATATAGAAATTACACTTTTTAATGAACAGGTTATAGTTAAAGTTCTAAACTCTAAGTCAAATTAGATATTTCCTAAATATAATTTAATTTACGTCGATTTATATTAAACAAAATAGATGCTCAAAATTAGATAAGTCTGAAGAGAATATAATAAAAGGTGTTGTAAATATCAAAATATATAGAAATAATATGTATACATACATAACATGTACATATTGTAACATATAGAAATAATAGCGTATAGAAACTATGTACATTTAATTTCTCAGCTGACGTACGGTGTTTTATTACAGAAGGTAATCTAAGTATGTATATATTATGTTAAACTTAATAGTTTTAAAAATATAAAAAATATTTAAAAATATAAATCGTTACTGTGTGACGTGTGTGTACCGCGTGTGATAAAGTGACTCGAGTATGGAATAAAAAATTAAAAGTACAACTAATCAGCCTTAATTTCGATCCCAAACCCGTAGTTTGTAACAATATTATATATTTTGTCTTCATTATGTATATTGCGAATCATTCGCTCTTAATATTGAGGTACGTATTGTTAGTAAAGGACACTACAAGGTCAATAAAAAAAATTATATATCATAACTTTTTATTTTTAAACGATTATAAAAATTACAAATACATATATTAAACTATTACAGTTATTAAAATTATTATAATACGTTTTTCTCTAATTTTTATTTTTATAAATAAATATGATCTTAGTTTTTACGTAATCTGTGGACGAATTAAAGGACGGTAAAAGAGAATTTATATTTTCGAATAGTTTATATATATAGAAAAAAAAACAATGCAATATGGAGTGGTGGTGCTTGGTCTGCACTACACGAAGCCAACGACCGTGTCATATCGAGCTACATTTTAATGAACGATTTTATACGCTTCGTGATAGATCTACAACAGTAGAACAATAAATACTGCATGAACTTATGGCTAAGGATTTAAATTTAAAACCTATCAGTATAATTTTACCTATATCATAGACTTGTCTTTTATATTCTATGTTAGAATATAATATGCATTAATTAAGTTAGCTTATTAACATGTTTACATCAGCTTTAGCCTCATTTTTCTCATACCTATTATAAAAATTATGAAGTAGGTAATGCTATTGCTGTTTTATCACTTTTCTTAAATATTTATTCAAATTTAGCCATTTTTAATTTTAATTTTGCGCTATTTTTAATATTTTATTCTAAATTTCTAAAACTTTGTGCTATATTTTGTGATAAAACATTCCAGTCTAAGTAGTAGGTACTATTTCTATCTATAACTAAGAAATTAAATTCAATAACTAATAAATTTTAGTTAGTCATAAAATATTTCCCAAAACTAATTTATTTAATCATTTAGAAATACGTAGCAGGTAATATAACACCTTTTCATATAGAATCATCGTTCATTTACAATAAGTTTTAAACGCAAATGAAATGATATACCTACTGGAGTGAAATCATAAGTATATAGGTACTGGCTACTCATAAGTAGTGCAGTAAAAAGGTACTAATAAAATGATATAGAACACCTTTTTTGGCTTACTTCTGGGTATATGTTAATAATGATGATTTATACCAAGAATGCCTTTAACACTTGATCGCCGTATAAAAAATAAATCAGTCCACGAATAAACAAATCACCACCTTCAGTATTTGACCTTTTTATTTTTTATAAAAAAACTGACCCCGACACTAATAACCTTGAAACCAATACCTAACTTAATGCTTGTTCTAAGAATGAATCGTAATTTACCTATGCCTACTAAAAGAGGACAAGAGTTAAGCGCTTAGTACAATTCGTACAAAATAAATGCGATCGTGAAGTTAGCCGCAAATCTATGCGCAACACACAACCGTGGGTAATTACAGCCTTCAATATACGATGTTCTTATATTGAAGGATTATAATATGTATATATAGAACATTGGAATTTATCTTATCTTATATCTTTAAACGAGCATTTCTTGTATATATGTATATATAATCTGAATCTCGGAAACGGCTCCAACGATTTTCATGAAATTTAGTGTACTAGAGGGGGTTTAGGGGGCGTTAAATGGATCTATGGTCGATAATTTCGCACGCTCGGGAATAATCATCATGACAACCGGGTAAGAAGATTCACAATGATAGGTGTCGGGGTTCGAATCTCGGTCGAAAACAGAGGTATATTTTTTTGTATTTATTTAAGTTTTCAGCTTTTTTTTATAGAAAATTTTACTTTTGACCAAAAACTCCGAGCGAAGCTCGGTGGCCCAAGTACTTATATATAAATGTACTAATTGTTAATATAAAAAATTTCGCACTCAATAATACCTGCGCGATTTCAAAAGGCTAACTTCACTCAAATGCATTTCTGTTTTGTACGAATTGTAAACCACTACCACATATTTTCCACCGACTATAGATCATTATATCTAATACTTTGGCAAGGTAGATGCAGGGGCAGTGGGTGCTGCAAGTAAAGTGTCATCAGCCGCAGAAAAAGCTTCTCGTATAGAAGCTGAATGACGTATAGACGCTCTACGACGTTGTTTGATCGCGTGAGCGAGGAAGAACGTGCAGAAGATGCCGGTACTCTGTAACAAATAGCAATTATTAGTTTTTTTGTTTTAAACTTTATTACAAAATTGAAGTCTCCAACTGAATTCGACCTCGATTCGATTCGATATTATAACTTCATATTGTAACTAAATAATAGCTATTTAAATTATTAGTTACAATATGTAGCAATATACTCTATGGTTACAATACAAAGTACAATTTATATTGATATAACTTAAATTATTGTTTGTGTCTGTCACTCTAACTCTGACTGATCTTACGAGTACTTTGAGAGAACTGTCCCAACCAACAAAGTTTAATCATAACCACACAAATTGTTTAGATAAGTATAAAAGACGATTGACGAACAAAATACGCGTCTTTGTGGGATATTTATTAGCGATGTATAATTTTTATGCGAAGATGTCCGAAAAAATGGCAAATACCTAGTAATTGTTTAGTATTTCCTCTTGTACTCAGCAATTTAAATGTTGCCCATCTTGAAACAGAAAAAATGCAGACAAATTGAGTAAACAAGATACTTTTTGAAGTCATTTTTGAATTCGGAAATGTTTATTTCTTATTTTGATTAGGAATTCAAATAAAACATAGTCGTATATTCTTAAAAAAGTTCTTAGAAGTACTAAATTATAATTTATGAATGATCAAACAACCAAAGAAAAGAAAAAACCCCGTTCATAAGCAAGCCAACGAATAATATTTATCCATTATTTCGTCAACACTATTATTATAATAACAAAGCGTCATTATTCACCCAATACATGACGCAATTACTACTTGGATGACTTAACCGTTAACGCATTAACCAACGTTTGTATATGACTGGGTCAAACCAAAATAATACTAACCACAAAACACTAAATTTTCCCCCAGGTTTTGCTCACGGAAAATGGGAAGTGCAAACGTATGTTAGCTTAAATAGGGAAATTATATTTAAAATACAATACAAGTTACAATTATTGAAAACATCTAGATTTTTTCTATTACTAATCACGCCACTATTAATGTGAATTTTACATGTATTTGCATGTTTGTTACTCCTTAACGCTTAAACTGTTGAATGGATTTAGAAGAGACAGATAGACTAACTTATTATTATACACTGGTTATCTATAGGCACCTAGGGAGTAGGGACTAAGGAGTAGGGACTAGGGAGCAGGGACGCACCCGAGCGAAGCGAGGGTAAGTCGCTACTCGCTAGTGATGTATAAAGAATATTACTGTCTAAAGACAAGATTGATCTCCGACTAACCTCATTTCAAAGGAGTACTGCACTCTAAGCACTTAAAATTTAACAGGTAAATCGTAAGCGAGACAAATTATTGAAAAATCAATAATGAAACCATGCCCTAGCACCAACCGGTTAGTGCATTGAGACTTTAACTTATAAATATTAATGTATGCATGGATGGAATATATAATTAAATAATTCCATTTATAGTTGAGTATGAGATTTATTCAGTATTTAATTCCTATTAAATGATTAAATAATATTGATGATTGCTGTAAAGCATTTGAAACGCCTGGAACCAAAAATCCAAACAAATCCGCGAAAAAAGCCGAAAAGATAGTTTTATTTAAAATGTCAAATATTCGCGTCAATCTAAGAAAGTATTAAGTAACATTAATGATCAAACATCATTGTGTTTAGCTTTGTACTTGTTGTAATGACTTGGAATTATACAAAGAACTGTAAAACTTTGAAAATATAAACTGCTAGTAAATATATGAAGTTTACGGTCTATAATTTAATACAAGATCAGGTCAATCAATCAAAGAAACATCAAACACCCTTATCTGTATGTAGACAGACGGCTTATTCTTATTTTCCTGAAAATTAAATATTGTGCCTAAAATTTTTATTATTCAAATAACCCTTATATTTATAGACAAATTTGACTCACATTTGACCGATTGTATTCTTTTAAAAAGATAAATTTTCTATAAGACGTAATAGACATAATATTATGTATGTATGTTGATGTAATTAAAAAGCTGAACAAAGCTAGGATGGGTTATTAGTAACGAAGAGTCACATGACTGAACCAAAGTGACTTGTTCATTGTTAGTCAGACCGAATTTTCGCTAATATTTACCTAACTCTTGTAAATAAAGGCAATGCAGCACTAATAATGCGAATTAATGATGACAGCGCACTCAGTGTATGGGACCGCCACCAAACATTTGTAACTTAAAAAAAAAAATTCTTTACTTGCAAAGAAAATGTCTAAAGTGTTTTTGATTTAATATAAAATCTATAAATGTATTTATTATGTCGCCTATCTTCACTTTTTGGAATTATATTTAGTCTTCCATTAATTTTACATTTATTGATTTTCTGTTATGGAAGCATCAATTTTTCAAAAATTAAAACCTTAAAAACGTAGTTTCTTCCATTAAATAATCATTATATTATGTATAATCAAAAAGTTAGCTATTATCTTAATCCCTCCACGACCGCGGACACGCCGGCGTTACAGTTAACAATAGATTTCTTAGAAATTTTATTAATTTCTTAGAAATTTACCTGAAGGTGTTCGACAAAAATATATTTCTAAAACAAATTTTCATATAATTTATTAGTCTAAAACAAATTTTCATTTAAATTTTTTTTTTGCGAAAACATTGTGAGATTCGCTCTTCGTGTAGACTCAGAAGTTATTTTTATATTATACATTTTTAATAATTCAGTCGGGGAATAATCCAGTGACCTCCGGTCCGGACTGAAGTCATTGCCCATTTGACATTTAAAACACAGCACTAACCTTTTGCCCGCAAGCACTAGGGTGAGGGTAAACTCTATCGAATTGATCTTGATTACATTTTGTACGGTTATAATTTACATACATACCCTACCCTACTTTTATCATGGGAAATAAAACTTCCTATAACGCGCGGCACCATAGAGCCGGCCCAAATCATCACTATGTTCTCGCTTAGCGTACTTTCTGACTTATACTTTACTAGAAGAATCCGCGGTTTCGCTCGCGATAAAACTACAAAAAATCTCTAAAAAGGTAGTTTCATACAAACTTTCATCTCCTATTTTACCCCTTTATAGGATGAATTTCTAAAAATGCTAAAACACATATTTATTTAATTTTATTGAAGAGCATTAATATCAAGTTTAAACTTATTCTGATCATAAATATTTTTTTCAATTGTATTACAACGTGTTTTCCCTTGCGAATAAGATGATCTCCCGCGATAAAAAGCCTATGTTATTCTCCAGCCCTCCAACTATCTCCACATACAAAATCACGCCAATCCGCCACTCCGTTTCGACGTGAAAGAAGGACAAACTAACAAACAAACAAACAAACAAACAAACACACTTTCACATTTATAATATTAGTATGGATATATAAAATAAAATTATATAAAATAAAAATATTCAGCTTTTAAGGAATGAGTACATAAGAGGATGCTTGAAAGTACACGAAACGAATGAAACGTTAAAAGGGCATCGTCTAGGTTGGTATGGACTATAGATTATTAAATTTCCTTATAGCGGATGGATGTCTTCGATAGTGTCGCCTCACAATAAAACCACGGTCCACGTTATAAATATACAAGCATTATATACAGTATTTCTATTACACAATCGCTATATTAAAACACTATATCCTAGATAACAGAGTGTAAGTTTGGAAGCCACGTTGTAAGGTGGAATAGTCAACCTGTCTCTAACGCTGTCCCATCCAGAAATGTGTGGATCTCAAGATAACTAACCCATTTTAAAGTAAAGCAATCACTGAACCATTTCACAAGAGTCAAAAATTCCAATTGACCATTTTAAAACAAAACTACTTACATATTTTTCTTAAAGTGACAACTTATATTACGAACCACTTCATATGTGTAAAATAAAATATAAATTAATTATTTTGAAGCGATGAAGCGACAATCGTAAATTGGACCCAGTTATGCAAAAAACAACCATGTGCGTAAAAGTACCAACAGAGTTATAAGCATTTTTCTGTCGATAGTTGCACTTGGGTTATGTTTTTTTATTTCTGGTTATTTTAAAATTGAACAATATTTATATAAGTATTGTTTATTTTTTATAATTATTTTATTTTTTATAATAAAATGCTTATAACTCTGTTGGTACTTTTTTTGCATAACTGGGTCCAATTGTTGAACAAAAACAATCCTGTATCTTAATTTAGCACAAAATAAAATTATAATCGGTTTCTAGTAAGATAGGTATAAATTCAAATACGAGGAAGTAGCTAACTCTGAGTCAGCTCTCAGAGTAGAACAATGAGTTCTTGGTACACTACACTAGAAGAACTCAACAGAGCATTCAATTACATTGTTACGAGTTTTTTGACATTTAACAAGTTGTTCAAGCCCGAAAATAACAATTCATGTAGATGTAACATATAAAAATAATATAACAATTATGGCAGAAATAAATACAGTCTTTAAACGTGAAGTGAACGTAGACAAGCAAGTAAGAGCGTTAAAAGTGTTAAAAAATTGACTATGCTACATCACTACATAGTATAAAACAAAGTCGCTTCCCGCTGTCTGTTTGTCCCTATGTATGCTTATATCTTTAAAACTACACAACGGATTTTAATGCGATTTTCTTAAATAGATAGAGTGATTTAAGAGGAAGGTTTATATGTATAAAATATGCATATTGTAGTACAAAAATGCCAAGAAATTCAAAGATTTGTATTTCATATCATCATATCACATGTCAAGCGAAGCGAGAGTGAGTCGCTAGTACTCGTATATTATGTTATTAGTTACATGATGTTGATCGACATGGTAACAAAACAGTGTCGCACTGTCGACTCATTCTTTCAGTGACGATGAGTGCTTTGCTGAGTTTATTTCGCCAGTTATTCTCAGAAGTCAGAACTGAGGCTTTTTCTTTCTGAATTGATGATTGACCAGACATGACGTTTAGTAAACATTTTAATAATTTAATGGTAAATATATATTTTTTGAATATAATTTTAATTTGATTCTATCATGTCGTAATTAAACGCTATTATGG